TTTAAATGCTAAATTGCAAGTAATTTTATTCTGAAATTGCATATTGTGTACACTGTTTTTCCACTCATAAATACATTTTTTGGTCTGAATAACCTGAGTACTCGTTATTTAAAAAACATGCGTTTCTCGGTAATCACCCTATACATTCCTGATTCCTCGCTTTGATAACACTATGCAAAATGTGTTGTCAAAATACTCCATAGCAAGAGGAACCGAGTGAATGATGAAAAGGTTTCGCACAGTTTCAGAATTGAATAGCACATTTTTGAATATTTGGTGACCTGTCACACAAAATTGTATGAGAAGAGCTTGAAAATTAGATTGAAAAGATATTTTTTGAAAACAAGTGTTGTCAGCACCGATTTCATAATTAAATAAAAATTTTATTAAGATTTCGATAACATAAGCAAATCAAAAGTCCCACCATACATTAAAGACATTGTGTCCAATAGTTATAATTTGGATTTATCCTGATCACGTGATTATTTTTGTCACGATATTTGAACGAGCTGAGAATATGAATGAACTTCTCTTACGGCACATCAGTGTAGTAAGCTACGTATATAAACTGCATATCTTTCGTTGACAAAAGATCGTAATAATGTCCGATTTAGTATAGCAAAGTATGCTTCTAATGAAATACAATCGGCAATACAAATTGCAAACCTTAGCACAAATTACAAACCTCAGCAAAAAATGCAAACCTTTAGAAAAAAGGAAAACCTTAGCACAAATTGCAAACCTTAGCAAAAAATGCAAACCTCAGCACCAAAAAGGAAAACCTTAGCACAAATTGCAAACCTTAGCAAAAAATGCAAACCTCAGCACCAAAAAGGAAAACCTTAACACAAATTGCAAACCTTATCAAAGCAAATTGTTATTTGGCTATCAGTTAAATTTACAATAGGATACGTCGATCTTACATATTAAAACATGGTAGTGCGTACTTTATAAACGAAGGTCAAAACAAACTGTTCCACAGATTTAGTCACGGATCGTTTCCAGTTTGTGTTAAAAGCTCCATAACCATAAAAAACAGTTAGAAAACCCATAACCTACAACTGTGTCTGGGCCAATTGAGAACCAGTCAACTGAGGAACTGTTAACGATTATTGAGAAAACTTTGCAACGTAAGAAAGCTCGAAATGTTGAAGAAGAGAAGAAGAATACGCTAGATTTTAAATGTATTGCATTACAAAACATAAGAGCCGAAATTGTAGACCTACTTTTTACTATCCCTCCCCAAACATAGTATATTGAGGAAGTACCTATTTTTTGTCTAGAACATTTTCGAGTTTGAGTTTTTGGTGTAAATGACCGGTTTAGAAAATATGTCCCGTAACCCAAAAAGTGGTTTTCAAATTTATATGTGGATAGGTGGCCACATATAAATTTGAAAACCACTTTTACAGAGCTACAGACTACACATGTGGTCCGATTCCTTTTCGAAAATTGGTACCGGTATGCGACTACTGATTCATTGTATATCCAGACATATTTTAAACTTGTTTAGTTTCAATATTTTTTGGGAATTTCCCCATAAAAATACATAAAATGACGAAAATAAGAATTTTTATAAAACCGGCTCGAACGATTTTGACTAAAATTAGTATGTAGTCCTTTTAACCTTACACAAAAATTCGCAACCTGCTGTAAAATACTGTTCAAAATTTTTGCAACTGTTATAATTTGATAAAATAAGTTATAGGTTATAACTACTCCCACCGCTGCTCATGGGATTTTCAGCAAGCTTAGAGAAAGTATTTGTCAGATTACTGAGATATTATTTTTTGCGATCATTTATTGCTTTTTAAAGTGTAAATCTTATTCTCTATATTGTAAATATAGTCAAATGCTATATCACTGCAATGATTCCCGTTTCCTAACGTGTTATCCATGTAGCCTACAATGGCAGTTTACGTAAGGTTGCATGCTTTATCGACATGAGCAAGGCTTCATGGCAAATCCTCTTACAGTTTGCCTGTGCGAGAAACGGATAAGGTGAATCAGCTTTAGTCATAGATTATACTATTCTTTAAAAACATCTCGATTATACTTAAAAATATTTACTTGTAATACTACCATCTGTGTGTGACTACTACTACCAGGTATCTCCGGGTTTTTCTATATTTTTGAAAACTTTTATTTTGATGGTGAATTCCCCATATAAAATAACAGAAAATCGGATTTTAAAAAAATGGCTCAAACGATTTTGTTTTAAATTTATTATGTAGCCCATTTAACTTTTTAACAAAACTGTACAACTTTGCTGTAAAAATTACTGTTTAAAAGTGCTTGTAAGTTTTGGGATTTTCCCTATAAAATATCATAGTCACTCCCACTGCTTAGTCAATATATGGGTTAGTTACTAATGGGAGAAAGTATGTGTCAGATTGCTGATACTGTTTATTGTAACTTACAAACATTTCCTCAAGTTTTCCTATAGAATTGCCTATTTAGTATTTTCACAGGACCCTGAGTAATATACAACTTTAACATTATTGTTGAGTGTTTTGCGATTTTTATGTAATTAATTAGTTGTAGGAACTACCATTTAAATATAATTTAATTTACTGTTTGAAGTAATTTCTCAAATGATATTGCAAAATAGTAACCTCCAAGTAAGATTTTTTAATTGTATTCATTGCATACATCGAAGTATTGCAACGATGACTTCAAAATACGTGAATCAAATTACCACAACCTAACAAAACTGACAACACATTTCTTATTAGATGCCAATGTGCAATACATAATATTATTGATTGTAAATTAACCAAATAAATGAAAAGTAACTTTATATCAAGTTTACATCACTTCTACTTCATAGTGAATCAGAAGAACAATGTGCGAGATAAACTCAAGAAAACCAACTGAAGAAGTTTTGTCATTGATGAATTCAATCTGTCATTTAAACCAATTAAGCTGTGAGTCAGCTGTTTAATCGAAGATCAGCTGTTTAGTAAAATAAATACATCTCTTAACTATTGATTGTTAAGTATGCTACAATTACGATTCACGTTAGTTTTTAAAAGAGGTTTCTATTAATTGTAAAGTTTTTCTCCATAATTGCAATGTTTTTACTATACTGTACGCCAAGTTTTCATGTTTTAGTCTCAACGATATCTTAAAATGTTAAACGTAGCTCTAGTTGATGTATTGATTAAAAATTTAGTTGTTGTAGATGAGAACGTTGCGTAGTAATTGGACAAATCTTGACACACAATATTTTCCTTTCATAATGCGCAAACGTTTTTCTTGTCATTGTCGTGGCATAGTATTCAGTGGATTAACTATGAAGGTAAATTTTGTCCATAATTAATTTACTGACACATTGTATGTCATTTTCCCCGCTTGAATAAGACCCTCCCTCATCTTATAGGGTTTTTACTTAGCTGGATAGTTTAGTGGTTAGCTTGGTGCTCTCCTGACTATCTAGAAGTCCCCGGTTCAATCCATCAAGAACACTAGCTTATTTGAAGGTTCGAGACTGAACCCAACTGTCCTATCATTGGGCTTTATAATAATGGTCCTGGCCCACGAAACAGCTGATTTCAGTTCAAGAAAGAGCTGATCTTAGTCAGTAAAGCTACACAGATCATCTCACTCAATTCTACACAACGATGGATTTATAAGCTTAAAATATGCACGGAAGTGTAAGCAAATAGCCTAAGTACCGTCCCATCACGATTTTTGTACACTAAATAAATTGATTGACAAACCTAAATAATTTACGTAAACTGTTACAACAACGTAGGAATTGTCCAATCACCAACATATGTCCAGATCGTCCACTGACCTAAGTCTATTATTGGTTCAAATTAACCCAATATTTCAGTGAGCTGTGAACGATAACCTGTCAACCACGGCGATCGATAATGAGAATAATCGATCAGCTGATCGATAACTAGAATAATCGATCAGCTGATCGATACAGATCTGGAAGTTTGGCCGAAATTAACATTTTCGACTTGGACTTTTATATCACAGTGCATTGACAACTCACTTTATAATCAATGTTAGATTCTCCATTAATCCTTTTTAGGAGCTTCGATAAGTAATTTTAACAAAATCAATTTATCTGCTTGAAAATCTTCTTATTATGGTTCGATCATATATTTGTCGTTCTCCTATTATGTGGGTTTTTCCTAATTTAGTTATTTGTAAGAAAATTCCGTTCTAGGCCACTAATAATAATGTGGAATTTATATTTTAAAAACAAAAAAATATATTTTTGTTCGTAGATGTTCACTTACTGAAACAAAACGTAATATTATCCCTTACTCTCGTTTCTTAGGCAGTAAGAAAATCACAAATACCTGAATAAAACATTGCCCAATCTAATAATTAGTAGTAATTATTTTTATATGTAAGGCTATCCTTTAACAGTAAATTATTTGTTTTCTTCCTGGAACGAAAATTTATCATGAGCTCTAATAAATATATTGTGAGAATAATACAGAATTTGCTGAATGTGCAAGCATTATTCAATTCTGTCACATTAATGCACGAAAAACTGGTTGAAAGTTTGGAATACCTTACTCATTGGTACTATCAGAGAACTGAACTTAATATTTTGCTCGAAGGTAGTATTTACTATAAAACATTTCAAATCTATAAAAATTTAAAAAATAGTGAGAACCATTATTAGATTCACTAATTGTAAATAATAATCAATAAATTTATGAATATAGTTTGTAGCGTAGTCAAAATTCAACACGATGTTACAGTATTTAATTTAAATTGTGTTATTATTATTTAAATATTTTCTTTTCAATATAAACTAGCCAACTGATTTTATTTATTATAGAAATTTACAGAAAATTATGTTTTATTAATTTTGGAATAATTAAATCAAAATTAATGTATATTATGCCTAAGTTTAATTAAAATCATAATTATTTACTTTGAATTTTTATCCATAAATTTGTTTTAAATAAAACATATTACTTCTAAATTAAATTCAACTAATGTAATGTAAATTTCATGTATGTACTCACGTGTTGTAGTTGAATACAGCTGTTCACTATGTCACTGTTTACAACAATAATTAACAGCACTTCGCACAACACTGCAACTACAAACACACTCTTCAAACATACGGGAGCGAATGTATTCTGGCGCCACTCGCCTCCGGAAGTTCCACTCTTTGCGACAGGCCGCAGCACTGAGTAGTGTGACTGCAATTAGTTCACTAAGTCTCCGCTAGCACTTGTTCGCAGCACTGAACGGCTCGACTGTAATTAGTTCACCAAGTTTCCGCTAAACACATTAGCAGCACTCTATAAAGTGACAACAATCCATAGAGGTTGAATATAATTATCATGTTGATTGAATATAATAATTAACGGCATGTAACTGAACTAATGTAATAATTATAGAAGTAGCATCTACATTATATTACACTGATTTGTCTATGGTTGAAGTCTGTCTGAAAATGTATTTACTTATTTTATTTTACACGGTTACGCCATTTTTACATAGCATAATTTACAATTACACTACATTACTAATGCAATGTAATAATAAAACAAAATTGTACTAGAAAAAAAGTTAAGTACCAAGCATGCTATACAAGGAAAAAAACTGTACAAAAATCAACAGATAATATAATAACAGGCAATGCAGACAAGTAAAAAAGCTTTAATTTAAATAATTATTTTAAAACTTTTAATAAATAATGGTTTAAATACCTTTAGGCATACTGTCAAACACTTTGTAGGCATAATTCACTATTGTAGTTGCCATTATTTAACTATTTATTTATTTATTATATTTGCCTGTTTTTGTGCATGGTGTGATTTAAGCTAAGTCAACCCAGTTTACTAACTGGGACTGTTAAATAAATAAATAAATAAATAAAAATGCCTTTATTTACGAGCGAGTTTCATGATACATGTTTTTCAAACTAACTCAAGTCACTAAATCTAAACTATCCTAATATATTTACATAAGTATATACAAGAAATGTCAAACAGAATGATTTAAAACATAAATTTTACACTTGTTTTTTTCATTGCGGCCCTGAATGAGTTATAAGATTTCGAACCCTTAATCACTTGAGGGAGGCCATTGTACAACTGCGGGCCGAAATAAGAAAAATACCTTCTTCCAGCCTCAAGCCTAACTTTAGGAAAGTGAAGCCTGAGGTCAGAGCGAGTACTACGTAGACAGATCTCCCTCCTGTACTTCAGCCTCTCACTGAGGTAATGAGGCTCTCCCAGCGTGAGCACTTTGTGGACCAGGCAGCAGGTCAGCTTTCTGCACATGTCATCCATTGGGATGAGCTTAGCAGCATCTCGGTAGGAGGACACGTGGTCAAAGCGACTAAGGCCAAAAATGAACCTTATGGCAGAATTTTGAATTCTCTGAACTCTTGCCATGTCCTCCTTTGAGATGCTGTTTCCATATGCAGGAAAGCAATATGTGAAGGCTGGAAGGACCAAGGACCGCATGAGTTGCGTTTTGGCATATTCTGGCAGGAGAGTTTTAAATCTGCTAAGACCTCTCAATCTTCCCACTGCACGTTGGACTGCAGATGTGACGTGGTCAGAAAAAGAGAGGTCCTTGTCAAGTACAACACCAAGCGTGTTGACAGTGTCACAAACAGACAATCCCATGCCATCAAGGGTGACTTCAATGTCAGATTTTCTCAACTCCTGCATTAGAATATGTGGTCCAGTATGCATGACAACACACTTGTCAACGTTCAGTCCAAGGCCATTCATGACAGACCATTGAAAAATGCTATGCAAATCAGCATTGATGAGTCCAATTGCTGCGGATGTCATGTCTGGCTTGTATGACAAGTGTAGTTGGCAGTCATCAGCATACAAGTGTGCTGTACAATAATTTACACTTCTGGGCAAGTCAGACGTGTATAAATTGAACAGCACCGGGCCTAAACAACTACCTTGAGGAACACCTCGCAATTTGCAAAGCGGATCTGATGTCCCACTCCCAATTTTAGTAACCTGCAGTCGGGACTCCAAATATGACCGAAACCAACATACAACCTTTTCGCTGCAACCATAGTACTTCATTTTTGCCAATAATAATTCATGATCAATAGAGTCGAATGCTTGAGAATAATCTAAGATAGCTAATGTGCTGTAGAGTCCTTTTTGTCTTTGGCTTCAAATAGATCGACAAACATATTAGTCAGTGCAGTACACGTGCTGTGGTTTTTTCTAAACCCTGACTGTAGCTTAGGCAGTATATTATACTCATCTAGAAATAAAGCAATTTGCTCGGTTACTATCTTCTCTAGTATCTTTGAAATAGCAGGTAACACAGATATCGGTCTTAGCTGCTGGATGGTTTTTGGCGCAGTAACTTTAGTCAAAGGTTTCACGTAGGCAATCTTCCAACTGTTAGGAAAAACACCAGAAGACAGGCTCATATTTAATAAGTGTGTAATTGCTCCTATTGCATATGGGCTAACAGATTTTATCATTTCTATGGATATATCATCAGCACCTAGAGCTTTTGATTTTATAGACGAGTTCATTGCCTCCTTAACATCATTTTCTGTAATAAGTTTGAAATTAAACCTATCCATTATTACCGTGTTTTTTATCATTCTGAAATATATTTAGTATTTCAATATCTATATCGTTTCCAGATCCCATATTGGTGAAATATTCATTTATTCTGTTATATCTAAATCAGGGGGGAGCATACTATTTCTCTTACTACTTATAATTTCACAATTTTTTAAACAATTCCAGAACTCTGCAGGTTTTTCACATTTTGCAAGCTTGTTAGAGAAGAATCTTTTTTTAGCCTCTAGTATCATGGAATTCAATTTATTTCTCGAAGTCTTGTACTCATACCAGTCCGAAGAATCTCTGGTCTTCCAGTATTTGTTACGGTGCTTATTTTTTACTAGTGACAATTCTTTAATCTTTTCATTTATCCAAGGAGCTTTTTTCCGTGTTACCTTCTTACAAACAACAGGAGCAACCTCATCAAACACCATCTTTATATTATCGGTAATGAATTTCTCAATCTCATCAGGAGACTCTAGTTTGTACACATAGTTCCAATTAATATCAGCAATTATATTTAGTGCAGTATCAACATTGAATTTGGAATCCTACTAATATTATAAATGAGAAAGTTTGGATGTATGGATGTATGGATGTATGGATGTATGTTTGTGACAAGTGAACGCAAAAAATACTGGTCGGATTGGGCTGAAATTTGGCATGATGATAGCTCACATTCCCGATTAACATATAGGCGTATTCTTATTTCAAAAATCCTTTCGGGCTCCGCCCCAGTGGCTCTGGAGTTTCCCATGTTAACCTTATGAGAAATAGAATTATTGAATCTTAACAGCTGTTTCAATTAAACAAGTTGGTTCTGTTCTGTGATGTTCAATAGCATTAAAGTTACAAGGATTACCAACAGGGTGCAGCACTAGCACTATTATTTCTTTTACATTTATGACAACAGCTAATTTGCAACCAAAAGGTGAGTGAGCGTAGCGAACGAACTTCAACCTGGAGGCGAGTTAGCGTAGCGAACGAGCTAACCTGAAGGCAAGTGAGCGCAGCGAACGAGCTCCAACCTAAAGGTGAGTGAGCGTAGCGAACGAGCTCCAACCTAAAGGTGAGTGAGCGTAGCGAACGAGCTCCAACCCAAAGGTGAGTGAGCGTAGCGAACAAACTTCAACCAGGACGTGATTGAGCCATGCGAACGAGATAATCTTGAAAATTAAGAAGTTAAACGGGGCAAAGCCCGCGGGTTACAGCTAGTAATCTCTATAAGTGATAAGCTTCGACCCCCTTTTGTCTTTCTGACAAGATATACAACAATATATTAGTTTATGATCAGTCATCCTCATTCCTCTGTGGTCAACTATGCTGGGGGTGTAACCTAACTGTTAGCCTAACTGATTGTTGCCAGATGATTATTATATGACTTGTCTGATTGCATGTAACATGCAACTGCATGTAACATGCAACTGCATGTTTAAAAGACCAAATAAAATTCTCATTCTCATTCTCTTGACAGTATAAGTGGACTTTGAATATTAATTGGATATCTGGTGCTGTTAGGGTCTGAATATGTGAATTACTAGGACTAGGGGCAAATAGGGGTTCGATTCCCGCGGCATATCAAAGAGTTTGTTAGGTTTGCTTTCCCATAAAGAGCATACTAATTTTATGTAATCTGTAAAATGTAACTGGATAGATTTTTCAGACAATTGATCACAGGTTAAACTATGTTTATTGTAGAGTAACCATCATAATTTGTATCTAATGATAATGATCGTCATTAATACATGTACCTCTGGTAACGCTTCAGTGCTTGTATTGGCATTAAGTTTGTTTAGTATTATTTTTATTTAAATTATATATTTTATTTAGTACCTACTACTAAGTTATTTAAGACCAAATGCACCAAAATAATATTTGTATTTGTTCCGGGTAACTTCTGATCATCTTGGTAGTATATCCAAAGTCTACATAACAAAGACAAATAACTATTTCCTTCATCAATAATACACAATCAGGCGTTACCGGATTCCAAATAAGCTGCAGATCTTATAAAATGATGTCTAATTATTGCAGTACTAACATTTGAAATCAATGGGTTATCCATTATCCACCCTCAAGTTAATAAATAACAATAAAATAAATAAATAAAGGTTCGACAGGACTCCTAGTATTGAATTCGAAGTTATGGTATTCGAGCTTCTGAGCCGTCATAATGACTCCGTGGCTATACTCTTTAGATTTCTTCCTGCTTTTTTTGTGACTTCTTCTTTCTCTTTCCCCAAACCTCAGACAGTAGTCTTTTCTTGCCTATTTCCACGAGGTTAGATTGGCTCGGCAAAATGCAGAAAGCTCCTAAGGTAATTTAATTGATTTATTAGTGTTATATCTAATGTTCATATTGTTTTTATTTATATTTTGAAGCACAGAACTATTCCTAACCCACGAATTTTGTTACAGACGGCGAAGGAACCCATCCAAAGTGTCCAGGTGTTTGGAAGAAAGGTTAGTAGGCTAGGCATATTATCACATTTTAGACTATTCTGTTATGTTTGATTGAAATGATTTTGCCAATATTTCTTTCTATGAATCATCCATAAACTCTATTTAAGATTCGTGTGATAAGTTAGGCTAGGTTGAATCTTTAAGTTTAGTTACTTATTATTTACCAAAGTTCTAGGCTTAAGCCTATGTACCCTAGAATCACCTTAACCCAGGCCTTGGCCAATATGAGAACCAAGGCCAGCTTTTTAGCCCCGACAGACGTTATATTTGATTCAAAGAGTCGGCCTAACTTAGTTTGTTTTCAGTACCCAAAGACGGTAAGTGCGGCTGCGGAATTGTCAGCCTTGCCTGGTGATGGGAGCAGATAGGGTACTGTGTGGTTGAGTCCATGATAACGTTTGAATTTAGTTTCATCCATATCAGAGGTATTTTATAGCATGTAGGCCTACTTTGTGCCTATTATTGTGTACGTAGGGTTAAAGGAACTCAACTGCAAGCAGGCCCTAAGTAGGCTATAAAAAAAATGCTGGGGAAAAAAATCAGGTAATTATTGCTTAGTTAACATAATAGGCTTATAAAAATTATCACATTAAATGCAATAAACACAGTTTTTTCTACAATGCTTCATTAACTTACAGTAAACATAGCCTAATTTAAGTTAACCTTTCAGAGGGCGCACCCGGAGGTTACTTCCAGGTCAATAAAAACAAACATTTAGGCCTATGAAGTAAAATTTGTATTTTAGTGCACAAATTAAGCTTTATTTTTAAATATAAGCATCAAAAGTGTGTTTAGTGAGCTCTTAATTATAAAATAACGCAATTTAGATCTTATAAATGTTAAATTAAACTACTATTCGGTAAAAATTCAGTTTCCCCAACTCACCTAAAACGCACTTCCTGAAGTGTGAAATTGTGTAAAAAGTGTAGGCTATTTAATGAAGTTTTGGACTTTACTGATGGGCGGAAAAGTCATTATATGACCGAAAATATTAATTTCCTAAGTATGTCCAAAAAATCATAATTACACCAATTTACACAATTCCACACTTCAGGAAGTGAATTAAGAACCTAACTGACAATAAACAACTCGTACAAACACTTACGCAATCAATGCCTTCTAACAGTCGATGACGTCATCAGCGCTGTGGAGGGTAAAGCTGGCCAGCAGCTTTGAAAAAATTGTGGATACGTTCAAGCGGCGAATACCGTTGCTTGAATTGGAATTCGGCCAAATATCCCACAAAGTGTTTTTTCCGAATCCCATACCGGGGGATGGTTGCCCGCACCTCCCTCCAAACACGCTCAATATTGTTCGTGTGAGCACCAGTCTCGGGATCAACGAAGTTCACAGAGTGGTTGACTTGAAGATGCCTGAACCCCTCCTGGCCTAGACAGTCGTACGCCCGCCAGCAGTCGCTGATGATTGTTGTGCCAGGAAGGATCCACTCGCGAATCAATGCCAGCAAAGTCGCAGAGTCCCTTGATTCCACAGGAACAAGGAAGGTCCTCTTCGTGTTCACGTCAATACCACCGAACACCCACTGTCCTTCTATAATTCGCCCGCGATTATATTTCCGCCGTCCGAACTTCGCCTCGTCAATTTGCACAACCGCCTGCGGTCCACCGATCCTCTCCGAACGGTCCACCATGTGATTGACGTACACCTCCCGGGTGAACGAGTAGGCCTACCAATCAACAATGGTCGCGCTGGCAATCCCCAGCTCCCGACGAATGAAGGCCTGACGAGGTGGTTTCAGGTGAAGAAAAATAGATACGAAGACAAATATCTGCTCAACAGATAAATGAGAGTTCTCTAGGAAGGTACCAGCCCGCGCGGAGACGTTGAATGAGCACTGCCGCTTTCTCTTCTTGTTGATCGACAACCGGCGCCGACAACGAAAAGTAAGATCGTCCACGACCAGCGGGCACAAATTACCACATCGAGTGCAAGCACTTTCCCGGCTCATCACACCGTGATTAACCATAAACAAGACAATGTCAGTCCGCGATCTACGCACACTGTCCAAAAACTTCACTTCGCAAGAATCGCACTGAGGTTCGATTACGTCAGCCATCTCGGAACAACCTACTAAAACTGGCGAAAACTGGTTTAACGAAGACGAAGCACTACAGCAAATTACCCCAGGAATCACCCGCAAAACCCCCAGGATTCACCAGAAATCCCCTCCAAAATAGCTATGTGATCCCGCAAACTCCCTATTAGTACACCAAATCGCAGCGCAAAAACTTTTACCATGTAGCACAACCGTCCCGAACCACTTAGCAGAAGTGACAAGCGCTGGTTAAAGTGAAACTATACAGCAGAACCACGGCCGCCTTTACGGCCGCCTCTAAGGCGGCCATGACAGAACTGCTGTTAAGTAACTAAACTTATGCAGACTTGCTGTAATAGTATTCATATTCGTATTTTGTATTGAAACTATTCTAAACTAACCAACCCTAACCAAACTTGCTGTATAAACTCATTATACAACAAATATGAAAAGACATGTGGTGAAGGGGGCCGGACATTATGCGGGTTCTTGGCTGCACTAAGTCCTTTGAAGGTAGGTTAGATTAGTGAAGTTAAAGTATAGGTTATAGTTGGCCGGGCTGTTTATTTATGTAAAATCTACAACGTTTTATCACTATAGGAACATTGGCTTAAACAACGGTACCATTTCAAAAATGCAAGCATTTTTGAAATCGTAGCCTCGTTGTTTAAGCCAATGTTCCAATAGTGATAAAACGTTGTAGATTTTACATAAATAAACAACCCGGCCAACTATAACCTATACTTTACCTTACTAATCTAACCTAACTTCAAAACACTTATTGCAGCCACGAACCCGCATAATCCCCGTCTCCCCTTCCCCACATGCCTAAATAAAGTATTTCCGAGGTTATTTTACATAGTCTACAACCCATTGGTATGATGAGAATTATTACTCTTTGCCTTGCTGACTCATAACCAGTGGCCAATAGCGAAGCGTCAACAACCCAAGTGACGTATCATTGGCCAATAGCGACGCGACAACAAACCTAGTGACGTGGCATTGCATTTATCCCTGATATGTGCATAAAATCCCTAAAATGGGGATATTATCCCCAGTAATTTTGATTTTTATCCCGTTTTAGGTACTTTATCCCGCATAATTAAAAAAAATTCCCATATTCGTTGTACAAATTACCCATCTTCCCATGAAATTACCCTTTTGTCTCGATGTTTAAGCGACTTTTTCCCCCCACCCAAAACCCCGGATTCCCACTCTGTCCCCTAGTGAGTAGGAATAATGGCTGATAACAAAAACCCTGTTGTCTCGATGTTTTAGCGAGTTTAATTATTTTAGCGAGTAAGGAAGCCTCGGCGACAAAAAAGTTATTTAAGCGAGTTGTAGTATTGATGTCAAAGAACAGTTTAAGAACGTTTTTAAGTGCGTTTCAGGTGAGTTGTGGAAACTGAACAATAACCTTTAAATTTTACCTCAATGCCCTATAATGTGGTTATAGATTATAACACTCTCAATACCTGATGTTTTAAGTAATTTAACAGAATGGGTATCTTAATACTAAATGACTCTGTACATACGTCGTTCGTGAATCTCCCTTTTAGCACGGCTAAGAGTGTTGCAATTCGAAATTTAACTTCTTCACCCATCTTGTACAAACTATATATTTACTAAATAATGCCATGATCCGTAAAAAAATCATTATTTACAGTAATTGTTTACACGCAATAATCAACACACGCAGTAAACTAGAGTTCGCATCACGGAAGTTGCCTCCAGGCTTTATAAGAATCGGCAGAGCGCACACGGAAGTTACTTCCAGCCAGTTTGTTACAAAACTAACAAATATAAAATAGTAGGGGTGAGTTTTGACCTTCACTCGATTCTAGGAATGACATGCATGAGGTACAGTGACAATCACACTACCGACACCACTCAAAATAATATAATCGCGAAAAATAAAACATTCCTGGAGGTTACTTCCGTGATGCAACCTCTGGAAGGTTAATAATTAAGTTTTCATTAGCATATACAATAACTGAATAACTCATTTATTTAGCTAGGCCTAACCCTTCAATTGTCTCTAGTTTTGGTCTTAATGTTCGCCCATTTATTGCGCAATCGCAGGGTTTTATTAAAATGTATCTTAGAAACTTAAAAACAATGCAAAGTATACAGTTTATAATTTTGTTAAGAAAATTATGGGCTTCAATGTAACATATAAAACATTACAAAAAAAAGTTCAACAATTTTTGTGGGGTTAACATTTTTCAAAAGTTATAAAATAAATGAAAAAACTTTATGTTTGCGCTCAATAAATCGTTATAATTTATAAGCTAGGTCTACGAATATTTTAAAGCAGCCACTTTGTTCAGAATTTTATGAGGATTCCAAAAATATAATAGTAAAGAAAGTAGGTTTGCAAATAAATAAGTTATGGGCAAATAACAGATTTCGATACGTATAGCGTTTAGCTAAGAATGCATAGCCTAACCATAGCTAGGAATCTGGCTGATAATTTACATTAATATCACTACCTACTTCTTCAGGATCATCAATCAGCCCTTCAAAATCACTTAAATCTTCTTATAATGCACCACGTATATCACTACTTTTGTTTTTTAACACGAAAACAATGATAAACGTAATAAAACACATCAGTCATCGGTGCGAGGTTAACTAAGCTGTTTACAAATACGCTGTCTGCTACAATATTTTTGGAACTAAAATGTAAAGTGTCTAGAAACAGACATCAGGATAAAGCTTAGAATCTGCCGAAAACAACAAAACCAATCTCGATCCTGTTCAATCTGATTCAGTCAGTCCCAGAGCCTTCGCTGTAAACGATGTTTGTGTGTCGCTAAAGCACCACGGCGGGTGTGTTGTATGCGTCAATTACGCTACACTTAACACTCGGAGGGTTAAGATAGCCTAGAGTTAATTTTGGTGCTTTGAATTCAATTTATGCTTTTTAGTGTAAGTTAGGCCTACCTTGAGGTAATCAGGCCCACAAATTATTTAACTACGGTACGCTATGCTATAATTTGACCTGGAAGTTTTGCATGTAGAACTTGATAACGAGGAATTGTTAAGTTAAATAGTAAATAGCTTGCCTGACAAGCCTCACAGACAGGAAAAAAGGCTGCACGAAGTGGACTGACACCATATCTTGGATTATTTATATTTAAGTAACATAATTAATAGATTGTAATTCCGCTTTGCAGAAGAGCGCTACAGCAGTTGCTTACTGCAAGCGAGGGAAGGGTAACCTGAGGGTCAATGGCAGACCTCTGGAGATGGTGGAGCCGAGAGTTCTACAATACAAGCTACAGGAACCCATCCTTCTCTTGGGCAAGGTAGGCTAAAGAAACTTATTAGGCATTGTATTAGTTTACACAACGATCACATAAGATAAGAGTCTTAACGACACAAGTTGATATTTAAGGTACGAGCCTATTTACACGAGTTTAGTAGCCTACATTACTTTACCTATGATTGTTTTTTAATTACTAGAATTCACTACTGATAACCTCCAAGAGAGGTTAGGTTTTCGTTTATAACCTCATATTGCTACTGACTGATGCAACGATTCATTGTACCAAACACTAATTGTACCCCTCAACAATTCAATTGACCTGAACAGCTTATTAGAAGTTCGAAGTATTACATTTTTACTTTTCTCTCAATCCTTGAACATCATTGGTCCGTTACCCATGTTGTTAAGTAAAAAAAACAATGTTAAAAGTAAGTGAACAATGCTGTTAAGCGAATATTTTATTCCAAAATCTGAACTGAAACGGCTAGTAAGAGTCTAGAAGCATTACATCTAATTACACAATTTTATTTGTAGGCCTATTGTCTCCAATTGCAAGCTGACTTTGACATTTACCGAGTATTTTAGAGGGGAAGTTGACGAATTTAGTCATTTTCTACTCCAAACTCATTGCGATATAACACACTTAAGGTTATCGAAAAGATCGACATCCCTGTGTGGAACTCTTTTTTACTGTGTCCATGTTACCTACTAACATAGGTTTACTTTCATTCCATCATAACCGAAACTGTGTATTAGCTAGCTTATTTAATAAAGAAAATTATTTACTAAAGGAAATGAGTTAAAAACATGAAGAACTTCTAAATAGGTAATACTAGAATGCCAGTTTGTACTGTCACACCACTTTGGGCTTGCACACATTTTAGTGGAAACCGTTATTCAGTATTAGTCGGTAATGAAGTCAGTTCAGGTGTAATTTGGTAGTTATTGTTTTTTGTGACTTATTGAAAATGTCTGATTATATCCTACCTTATAACTAAAGATCACGAAGAGTAAATAGAGGCTTTAGAGTTTGCTTGGGCCCGACTTACGGCCCAAAATAGAACAATTTGTACAAGTTCAGTGCAATTTGGTAGATGGTTTCGAAATTTCTCAATTAAATTTTTGTTGCTGGGAGTTTTGGCTATCAAAGGAAGGATTGTCTATACATCCTCATATTGATGTGGTTCTTATTTTTTTAAAGTTCATTATTCGCCCCTTCAGCCAATATTAGATGCCCCCAATATCGCTTTCTCCTTGCCTTCGATAGGCTTGCAAATGCACAACAACATTATTATTATCAAAGTCCTATCATGACATTTAAACTTTACATTTGTCATTGTGGTTCGCATATTAGGCTCAGGCCGCATGACAATAACTAGGTTTTGACGTGGTCGTTGTTAGGCAAGCGCCAATTGTGTTGCAGCTCATAATGATAGTCAGTTTTTGTTAACCTGGATATTTTTAACATTTAACCCGTTGCCTGATCTGTCATAAATTGTTGTGATCGTCGCAGGAGCGTTTCTCCGGAGTAGACATCAGAGTGAGAGTGAACGGAGGAGGTCACGTAGCTCAGATCTATGCCATCAGACAAGCCATTTCCAAGGCTCTTGTCTCCTACTACCAGAAATGTAAGTCCATGCCTAATCTCTAACTTATTTAGGATGTTTAATACTGTGAAGTTGATTTTTTTAATTTCAAAGTCGTTTGTCCTAATCATCTAACTTCAAGTGCTTTCTATTTCTAAAACAATGAAGTAATACAGCAATTATATCTTTACACTTTGTCAAGCCGGGTCTAGTGATTGTTTTTCTCAAGACCTTTTAATTTGCAAGACAAAAATATTGTGCTTGTGAGTGTCATGTATGGGTGTTGTCCTAAACAACAGACTGGAAACCAGCAGTATTTCTTGTTTATTTATTTATTCTAGTTTTTATAATAAAATGCACGGTATTGATTTAGGAGGAGGTGAAGTATTGTTAACTAACTCATCTTTAGTCCTGGGTAATTAACGAGTCACCAAATTATTCTTATCGGTCATGGGCTATTGAGATCGTTTTCATATGCTATTTGTCATAGGGCTATCTGTTAATGGTGCTTTTTAGAAAAGGTCTACGTTAGATAGTCACAAGACCAGGATTTGGACCGTTCCCTTTCAAAACGTAAAAAAATGCAATTGGCTTGGAAAACACAACTAAATGATTCTGCGTACTGGGGGAAATAATAAGAGAGGGAGGGAGAGGATAGCTCATAGGTAGGGATGGTCAAGTCTCGAAATTTCGGGAAATTTTAAATCTCGTTACACGAGACGAGATTTCTTTTTGGCCGAGATTTTTATCAAGACGAGAATAATAAAAAAAAAAAAAAAAATTAGAACGTCTGCAGAAAGTCAATGCAATACCCGCAATACAGGAGCGTGTTGTAGTTGCGTTTCCATTGCGAAGGCGTTCTTATTTAATTAATTCTTTAAATGTAAATATTACTTTAATTATTTTAATAATATTACTTTAATAACATTTGAGAAGTTTTGTAAGCAGTGTGAGGAATGTTTTATTACTATAAAAAGTAAAAACAAGTAACTATTTTATAAAAATTAATATTGCTTTTATTTTATGATTTATTTTATTTTAGGATAAGTTGAACTCTATCCTAACTGATATCACTATGTTTCCTAATCGTAGGCATTTTTAATAAGTTAGGCGTGATTAATAAAAAAATGTTATGCTGATGTTTTTTAATAAAAGATTGTAAATATTCTTGCCTATTATCATAATTTTTGTATTTAAACAGTCATCTAACAAAATGTTACAAAATCAGGTAAAAATTTTGAACGTGCATTTCCCGTTGTGTATGAGAAGGGAAATCCCGTCTCGATCTCGTCTCAAAATTTTATGAGAAATCAAAAATCTTGTCACGTCTCGAACTAAAAATCCAATCTCGTCCATCCCTACTCATAGGTGATGTTTTCTGCGTACTTGCTGATCAAAATCAATTCCGTGCCAACGCCCAAACTGTTCAGTCTACTCAGCATTAGGCGCAATTGCATTATTGTACTTCCCACAATTAAATATCCATTAACTTTCTGAATCCCGTAAGCAAGACTTTGTTGGACACTCAAACGAGGACTACCTGTTTATCAGTAAAGGAACTCGCTATTTTTTTTATGTGGCTGGAATCCGTCACAAACTTTTGCAATATCATCAACTGTTGTCATGTATCACCATATTATAATGTTTAGACTTAATTTGTAAATGTTTATAACCCATAGACCAGTAGAGTAATACTGCACTTTGTCTAGATGTTGATGAAGCATCCAAGAAAGAGATCAAGGACATTCTGATCCAGTACGATAGGACACTGTTGGTAGCCGACCCTCGCCGCTGCGAGCCCAAGAAGTTCGGAGGTCCAGGAGCCAGGGCCAGATACCAGAAGTCATACCGTTAATGTCTTCTGTTATTTTTTATCAATAAAATGGTTTGTTAAACCCTACCTTTCTTGAAGTTCGTTTTGTCTCACAAATACCACTTTGAACAGGTCAACCAGAACATATACAGGGTGTCTAGTAGTCGGGAAAATCGGGAAAGTCGGGAATTAGTATTGAATTTTAAAATGGTCTTGAAAGTCGGGATTTAGTCTTAAATTTGATTTAAAAGTCGGGAATTTTCATGATTTTGCCGCGATCGTCGTCTTGCGTTTACGTAACCGCAAAAGCCAATGATAATGTCTACACAGCCTCGGGAAATGTTCACGATTTTGCCGCGATAGTGGACGACGACGATGACGTTTCCGAAACCACGAAAGACGACGATGACGTTTCCGTGACCGCGGGAGACGACGATGATATCTGCTCGGCCGCGGGAAATGTTCATGATTTTGTCACGATCGCGGACGACGACGATGACGTTTCCGTGACCGCGGGAGACGACGATGATATCTGCTCGGCCAAGGGAAATGTTCATGATTTTGTCACGATCGCGGACGACGACGATGACGTTTCCGTGACCGCGGGAGACGACGTTGATATCTGCTCGGCCGCGGGAAATGTTCATGATTTTGTCACGATTGCGGACGACGATAATGACGTTTCCGTGACCGCGGGAGATGACGATGACGTTTCCGTGACCGCGGGAGATGACGATGACGTTTCCGTGACCGCGGGAGACGATGATGATGTCTACACGGCCGCGGGAAATGTTCATGATGTTGCCGTGATCGCGGACGATGACGATAACATTTCCGTGATCGCGGACGATGACGATAACATTTCCGTGACCGCGGGAGATGACGGTAATGTCTAAACAGCCGTGCGAAATGTTCATGATTTTGCCGCGATCGCGGACGACTACGATGACGTTTCCGTGACCGCGGGAGACGACGATGATGTCTACACGGCCGCGGGCAATGTTCATGATTTTGCCGTGATCGCGGACGATGACGATATCATTTCCGTGACCGCGGGAGATGACGGTGTGGTCTAAACAGCCGCGGGAAATGTTCATTATTTTGCCGCGATCGCGGACGAGGCCGCGGGAAATTTTCATGATTTTGTCACGATCGCGGACGACGACGATGACGTATCCGTGACCGCGGGAGATAACGATGACGTTACCGTGACCGCGGGAGATGGCGGTGATGTTTCCGTGACCGCGGGAGACGACGATATCTGCTCGGCTGCGGGAAATGTTCATGATTTTGTCGCGATCATGGTCGGCCGCGGGAAATGTTCATGAGTTTGTCGCGATCATGGTCGGCCGCGGGAAATGTTCATGAGTTTGTCGCGATCGCGGACGACGACGATGACGTTTCCGTGACCGCGGGAGATGACGATGACGTTTCCGTGACCGCGGGAGACGACGATGACGTTTCCGTGACCGCGGGAGACGACGATGACGTTTCCGTGACCGTGGGAGACGACGTTGATGTCTACACGGCCGCGGGAAATGTTCATGATTTTGCCGCTATCGCGGACGATGACGATCACGTTTCTGTAACCTCTGCAGTCAATGATGATGTCTAAACGTACGGTACGTGGAAGATTTCATGATAAAAAAAAACAAATTTGCTAGTTATAATTTTTTATTGCTGCATTATTTCTTTACTTGAAAACACCACATTTTCATAATACTACTTTATGACAAAGACAGGGGTTGGTGTAGTATTATTCAGAAAATTTGGTTAAGCTATAAAAATTGGTATCGGTATCAAGAATCGAGAATTGATACATTTTGGTATCAACACGCACTAATTGTTGAAAAAACTAGTCTTGAAAAATCTGGAATTAGTCTTGAAAAGTCTGGAATTAGTCTTGAATTTTATAATGGAAATAAACTAGACACCCTGATATAGGAAATTACGTTAACCATTCATATATAATACAATTAAACTTTGCAATATGTTTTACTGGTCAACGTTTTTAATTGTCGCGGATATTTCTGAATACTTAATTTTAAAGGATTGGGAATAGTGAATTTATTGAGGTATGGTTGGACAAATTTAGGATATGAATAAAAAGATGAGATCAACACAAACATTTAATTCTTATTAATAACATAATACTGTCAACAAATACCATTAAAGTAATGTCACAAGAACGCATGGATGCTTTAATACGATTTTAAGTAGTAGTTTAAATGCTCTTTTGAAATTGTTACACTTCAAGAAAGTAGTGAACATTTACAAATGCTTAACGTCAATTAGAACTATAAAATGAATACTTGTGGAATTAGAATGAGAAAGTATTATTTGAATAATGTAGGACTTAAAATATGTGTGGGAAAACATATTATTGAAAAATGTTTTTTAAACCTTTGCCTCCCTGTATTGAAATGCATTAAATTTGTTAAACACTTATTTATTTCATTAACACAAGTCACACTATTAAACACACAAGACACAACAGCTACATTATTTGTACTACTCAAATACTACGAAGTTGCCTTTGGATGGACATCTAAATGCTAACTAATTTAAAAACACCCACTTTTACTCTAAACACTGATGTCTTTAGTTTGTACTCCAACTTGGGGTAGAACTTACTAGAAGATATATGAAAATACTCGTTTGAAATTAAGTTTTCTTTGAAATACTATACAACTGAACATAGTTGTGGAATACTATAGTTAGTAACTTATCTTAGTTTTAACTGTACAAAACTTAACACTGTACAATTTAATTATTGGAAGGAGAATAAATGTCTTAAATGCTTTTTAAACAGGTTAAATATGTACAATCTCGTATAAACGTGAGATCATTTGTAGGAAATACTTCTCTGAAAATTTAGCAAATTGTGGAGTGTAACCATAACATACGTAGCTCGTAAAGATATTAGAGGTCACAACAGTTGACACAAATTAAGCTACTCGTTATGTGCGTTACAATAATTTTGCACAAATCGGCTTCAAGAGTTTTTAATTAGATTCCTCGATAAGAATATTTTTATATGTATTGCAGCTTTTCAATGATAGTTTTGGTTAACTTGATTCTTAACATTTAACTCTTGGAAATTAAAGGATTGACAATGCTAAAGCTAACATAAACTATTTGTTTTACATTCTTTTAAGCTGGGTTTTCCTAGGCGCGGAAGCGGAGAGCGGAAAAGAGATTAACTTGGTGTTCTGCTCCGCTTCTAGGAAAACAGTAACATAAAATTACCTAAGACAAGTCAGTCCGCTCTCCGCTCTCCACTTCCGCGCCAAGGAAAACCCGGCTTTAAGGGAAAATCTGCCAAGTTTGGTTTGAGTAATCCAAACACATAATTTTGATCTCTGATAGGACTTCTTAATTTTTCTCAACTTGGAAGAATCGAGTTGACTGTTCCTCTCCAGTGGTATATCCAGGGGGTGGGGTTTACGGGCATAAACCCCCCTTAACCTCTACAACTAAATCTCTTATATGACTATAAATAGCCTAAATATGCAAGTTTACAGGTTAAATTTTCTGTGACCCCCATACCCACTCTTCAACCTTGGTGGGTATTCCAGACCCCTTCGGTGAAACCCCCCTTAGGGTGATCCTAGTTACACCAATGTTCCTCTCCCTCTTAAAATTTAATAAAAGAATCTGAGGTTGTAGTTAGCGGCTTAGTGGTTCTTAAGTGAAATTAGAAAATGCAAAATAGTCTGTCCAGATTTTTCTCTTAAAATTTGAAAATTCTTCTTCCTTTCCCTACGGTAGACTTGCTATCTGGTATAAGTTTTCCTAAAAGTCAAGTTTGGCCCCCATCCTGCGCAAGGCTATGATGGTGTTGACGATTTTTATCCATCGTCGCTTGATAACGTATCTCTTCAGGTTGGTCTTGTCGAGTCTCACATCGGCCGCTTTGTCCAACCAAGTGTGCTTCAATGTGTCCCCCGGAGTCATTCTCTCTCTGGAAAATAAATCGCAACAATACTCTGAAAGAATTTACGTTTCACTTAGGCATTCTATAAATTCCATTTTACAGTTTGGGGTAGTGAGAGCACCCCAATTTTCTTGTGCCACGATAATGCAACAATGAATGAACAGCTGTGCTTATAACATCAATTATTAAACTATGAAACTTTTGTAAAAATTGTGCTATGGGGTTATTTACATTGAGTTTGCTGTGTAATTTTTAAAAATAGCTATTCTTGAGCAAACCAGGGATTGTTTAGATCACATACCATCTTTGGTCGACGTGGCGCTGTTCCAGATCGGTAAACGATAGGGAACTGTGTAAGTAGGCTGCAATGAACAAACAAGCTGATATGCAGCAAAGTAACTTGTATATTTATAGTTTAGAACTTCAACCCCAAAAAAAGCAGCTGGCCAAATTCAACTTTATTCCAATGTTGGAAAATAACATCATGCTATTTTTAAGAATAACTTCTGCAGTTTTGAATAAACATTTTGAACAGCACAAGTCAAACAAGCCCTGAAAGGTTCAATGCCTCTTAAGGTGCTTCGGTTGTCATATTACTCTCTACTTTTGACAAATTCCTTTAGGGGGCGATTTATTGTGCGTTATATGTCTTTTATTTTTACTGTTGTCTATGTTGACTTTTTCAAAGATAAGCTGGCTGCATCCTTAAAAAATTGGGAGTGTTGCATGACGTCCAATGATACAAGTCAGTGAGTGTCACGACGTCCAAAATATCATTCTTGAGCTCTCATGATGTCCAATATAAACCATTATTGTACGACTTCCAAATCTCATCGTGTCCAAATGTACAGTAACTGTAAGAAACATAGTCTTTCTACGCTTTGGTCGTCATGCAACAGCGCACTTTATACTCTTAAAAACTTAGCAGTTAGCACCATGTCAAAAACTGTTGCTGCACGACGACTAATTCCATGACGTCTAAAGCTTGTAGAAGGACTAAGTTTACTGTTCAGTTACTGTACTTTTGGACGTTGTGTAACAGTCAAATATTTTGTTTTGGGCCTCGTGACACTCACTTATATCATTGGACGTCGTGCAATGCTATGCATCCAAGAAACATAATCCTAGCTCAGGGAGCATTTTCTTGAACAAAACCAAATGTCTGCTTTAATATTTTTGTTCAGGTTGATATTGTTATATTATTCAATAATGCAGTGTTTATTAAAGGTCTCAATGGAGGTCTAATGAAAACACATGATTAACAATTCAAAATATATGTACATTTATTACAAATTTACAATTATACACATACAAATACAAGTTAAGTAATTCTATGAAGTAAATTAAAATATATTTGATCCTTTGAACATTTTTACAATAAAATATATTGCTAGTGTTAGTTTTATTGCACTCAAAAGATAGAGTTGTAGAAAAAAAGGGAATTGAAGGGAAAGTTTATTGAAGTTGTACTTTCATTAATTTAAAATATCACTGACTATTGCTATAAGTTACATGTTGTCACACCTTTTACTTACTGCCTTAGGAAAGTCAGATTTTTAATGGTTGGATGTAATTAACTAAACATAAACTAGTGATTGAATGAAAAGAACATAAAATAAACTTAAATAAATAATACTGGGGTTGTCTTATTTTTGTAGTCTATTAACGCTATTCTCACAAATCTTTAAAATGTTAGTGCTATTCATATAACAGGCTAGAAAAAAATATATTTTGTCTTCGTGATAGGGATGAAGTATTTTTTCTAAGACTCATCATCAACTTGCATTTATTATTAACAGAACGGTATAAAACTCGTAGACTAGTTGAATCAGCCTTGTTGAAATTACATTCATTAATAACAAAACTTTTGGCACAACAAAATATGACTAGAAAACATAACAGCTAACAATATGACAAGTTTAAAAAGACCCGGTGTGAATGTTGCTCTTCACAGTTTTTGAAGTACATGCAATTGTGTTTTTGTTGCAGCTACGATAATTGTTTCAAATTGATAAAATATTGAGTACCGGTACTTTTATATGTCATACTTTTGTTCCAACCGCATGTGTTTAGGAAATATTCAGGCACATATCTGCCAAGGGATAGGTTAAAAAGAAATACTGTTACTGTATGTTTAAAATTTAAAAGTACAATAAATACAACCTAAGGCAACATCTGGTGTTAAAAATATTTACAAACTTGAACTAGAATGAATTTCATGCACAGCCCAGTTTGACTTGTCCGAGTATCACATTTGTTTGGTCAGAATACGCTTTTACTTAGAACTTATCGAGGTAACTTTGGTTTTCTTCTCACTCGATCTATGTTTAGTTTGAGAGACGGATTCCGCTGAAGAATTCTCCGAGTGACCTTCCAGTTTGTCGAATAACCGCAAGATGACGTCTTTGTTGAGAGGCTCGGTTACTCGCTCAGGCGAACTTCTAGGCGTCTGAGGTGCAGAATGGGTCTGACAAGACTCTGGAGTCAAAGGGTTCGGAGGAATAAAATAAGTCATGTTTGTCGCCGGCGGAGGAGAACCTATTGGAACATCTCTGTTCAAATTCGTCACCCGGAACTTTGGCCTTTTAGGAGCTACCCCACGGTTTGCTATCTGGCGCAGAAAACTACTGCTGTTGTTGTTAGATTCGTCCAACAGATCGCTCTCAAAGAGTCTCGTGGACAGTTTTTTTATTTCGCTCATGATGCTCGCACCATCGATTGAGTTTTCTATGTCATGCATAAAGCACGAAATATCTGAACACCGCCTTTCGAATCGGTCTGTTTGAAGATTACGTAGAAGCGGGTTCAATTTTTGCGTATCAATGTTGATCGGGTTTGAAAGTTTCACAGGTTCTTTAGGTTTTGCGGTGGTTGAAGTCTCTGCGTCTTTACCTTCAACAAATATTTTGTGTGTGATTATTTTAGGTTTAGTAACTGTAGCCTCACTTTCTCGCTTCGTATCCTTCCCTGAACTCTCTGAACCTCTAGGATGTGTTTGTCCGAGAACTATTCCCGCGATCTTCGGTTGAGGGCTGGTATTTAAATTTTTCTTGGTTATATTAATTTGCGTCCCTCCCTGTTGGATCCTCGAGTTAAAAAGACCAGTGTTCGACGCAGACCCTGAAGGCTTCAACGGAAACTTTGATGAAACTTTTTCCTCTTCCGATTTGGAACTGGTTTTAACCGGAGGTTTCCCCTCTGGAAGGCTCTTTTGTGATTGAATCCCAGATGGTTTCTTAGTCCAAGAAAATGTGCTTACTTTCACTTCTTCCGGGCCCGTGTCTTTTATCTCTTTGCTTTTAACAGGTACCAAATCTATCTTTGCTTGTTTTGACGGACTTGGCGATTGGAGGTCACCAGCATTCTTTGATCCTTTGGTAGAATCTTCAGAAGGTTTTTGCTCGATTACGACTTTCGGAGGCTCTTTTTCTTCAGTCGCAGATGAGTCAGTAGCAGGTGAGGTGACACTAGAAGTAGCTACACTGGTAGGCGCAGGCGGGGTAGCGTCTTCTGTTGCTACAGGCACATGCTCCACGGGTGTCGGGACAAGCTCAAGTTTGACAGGTGTGACGGGAGGTGTCGGTGGTAAGTTGTGGACAATCACTTGTGTCGGACTCGTCTCTCTCTTGCCCCAACTCTCCACCGTGTCGCGCAGGTTGTCCTTGGTAGTGTCCAGTAGCGGCTGCAGCGGAGGTCTTCGAGCCAGCCAGGGATGACACAAACACTCGGCCGCCGTGTAGCGCCCTCTGCAACGGCAGACAAAGACCCAGGTTAATAGCGAGGAAATGTTGCGACAAAAGGTTAGACAGGTGAACATCAACAAAATGGCATGCAAAGATAGTGGTGAGAGTAATTTATCTGAAAACTTGTATTTTAAGACAAGTATGGATCATGTAAAGTAGAAAGGCAAGCCGAATGCGTGTGCACATAAAAGCCCTTTTCGATCATCGTCGCTTTGTTATTTTGTACTGTAATCTCAGCAAATAATTGCCGTTGGATGAATTTAATATGACTAGCGTCTAGTGGTGTGACTATCAGTGTAATTAACATCATCAGTTGAGATGGGGATAGGTGCGTATTTTAACCCAAATATGAGTGAAGGATGAGTGTAGAATGGTGTGAGATGATCTGTGTCGTTTTGTTACTGACTGAGATCAGCTGTTTCATCAGTCAGGATAATAATTTATAGCTCAGGGACAGCTGGGTCCAGTTTCAAACCATCAAAAAGTGTTGTACCATATTGGGAGTCTGTCTCACCCCTCCACTTTGCTATCTTAATTGACCTGATCTGTAGTAGTATTTTCTGAACAATCATCGTTCTTTGCCATTGGCTTCGCACGAGGGCATTTAAGGTATCCTTGATTCAGCCATGATAAGTTTGTACTTAATTTAGTGCAAATTCCTTAAGTATCATATTGATTTAAGACTGAAATACGTCCCATGAACTTATATGGACCAGAAGTAGACCGTTCATACTTATAGATAAGGCTTATGCTACTGTTAAAGGTCTTCCTTTTAGTTTTTCTCGCAATGATAGTGGATGAGGTCATAGAAATTTTATTGTTTGAAATCAATTTGCCTCGACAGAGTGCCATGTGTCAGTTCGCTCTAGCGTTATTTTATTCTAAACTGGTTAAAACTCCAATATGGTAATCTAAAGACCGGTCTACACGCTAGGATTTCATGTACGTTTTATCTGCACAGGTAAACGTTGCAGTCAAGTCATAGCAAAGAAATGCGCCCACACAGTACAGGTTATAATTTTGTATGTAGTTTTGTGATAACTTACAGTGTATGTGCATGTTTTATCAAGGAAGATGTGTTATTGTGGTCTATTTTTGCAGTCTGTGTTGCAACAAAGCAAAGAAATAAGTATGAGCGAAGACGACGCTCACTATGGTCAAGACGTTGATTACTAAAAGGCAAACATTTTCATAATCGTTTGTCTGTTCACATTTGGATCTACTGCTTTGTATTTTTCCAACAAGACTAAGTCTGATTCTTATCACGGTCACTATATTCCTTACTCTTGAAATTCCAAAAACAAGGAAAACTTCTGTACAGTTCGATGAATTCGACAATAAACTCACGGTAACATTGGCAAAGATCTGCCATCGTAAAAAAAACACACTTATCCCTCTAACAGGACATGAAGGTTGACAGGGTACACACGCAACGTCTAGTCTGAAAACATTGTCAAAACTATGCTCTCCTCAATAATTTCATCTCTCCGTCTTTTGTCTCCGAGCAGTTCTCAAAAATGCACAGTTTTACCGTCCACACGCAACGACTTGACTACAACACTTTACCTGCGCAAGTAAAACGTACGAGAAATCCTTGTGTATAGACAAGTCTTAAGGTCTACAGTAGTTCGAAATAGGGTATCCATAGTCAATGGTTCTATTCAATGTTGGTACATTTATTATTTTGGTGGTGCCTTACAATATTTTTTATTCATAGGCATTGTTGTAAAACAAGAAGATACATTTTTCAACTTGTTGTTTTTGTTAGAGCGTTTGTTCATGCTGCAAAATATCCCAAATAAAAATAAACACTTGAATGGATCCTTAGGCAACAAAATAGCAAAATAAACAATCTACTATACTTTTAATAAACCCAATAAAACGAGTCAACACATTGTTTTTGTTACATTTTTTGCCTGGCAAAAAAACCGTTATTGATTAGTATCTTACCTAGACTGTTTGGATGGTAATAACAAAAAAATATTCTATAGAATACGATAAAATCAGCTGTTACAACATCAGGTTAAGTTCATGAATATTTTCACACACAACTAAAAAGGCTTATTGGCTTCTTAGATTCTAAACTAAAGCAACAAAAAGCAGAAAACGATTCAATTATTACAAAGCAGTAAGTATAATTTCGGAACTAAGCAAATAAGCAAAACAGGGTCTTTGTCCCACCTTAGCAGATGCTGAATATATTTTTTATACTTCAATTTTTTTTTTCTTCGAGATTGAAGAGAAAGTATCGATTTATTTTACAAGGGTAAATTTGTGTGGTCTAGAATTACAGTTTTAGAACATTAGATTATGGATGAGTAACAAAAATGACTGTGAAATATACTTTTATCACTGGCCCCTTAACAATTTTTTAGTTATTCTCTGTCAAACGTGTCAGTTGAAAGTTTTTCATTTATACTTTAAAAAGTCCCAAAACCTTTCATTAAAATTTAGACACAAACATATTAGAAAAGCAGACATTTTTACTCCTAAATTTATTTACAAAACTAGTTTTTTAGACTAAATTTAATTGTTTACTCTCAATCCTTAAGCTTAACAGCGAATCTAAATGGTGAGTTACTAAATGGATTATATTTTATTATATTTCTAAAAACCACTATGTACAATACGAACTATTTGACACAGATCGTTCTACTTACTCTCTGCTTTTGACGAGCAGTTTTCTGATGAAGTCTTTTGCGTCTTCGGAGATGTCATCGAAAGCTTCATCGTCAAAATCGTACTGAGCGATTGTTACGTTGGCCATTGTTTCAACATCGGTCTCGCCCATGAACGGAGACAGTCCGGACAACCTGAAATGTAAAATATTGCTATGAAGTTAAATTAGTATTAATAATTTGCTTAACTCCCTTAAACCTTTGTTGGGTTGTTGACTTTTAGTGGAGTCTCGGTTTTTGGTGCAAAAGTTTTGATTATTGGCTTAGCCTAAGAATGCAGTGTAGAATTCATACTCTCTCTTTCACAATGCTAGTCATACTGAAACCAAAGAAAAACACTTCTTTACTTTATTGAAGTATTCTTGGGAGATGTTCTCATAATTAAAAGTGAAATGGAACTGGCAATTTACTATGTACACTGTTGGATCTACTTCAAGGATTAGTTGCAGTTCTGAATTATCAAAATCTATATTAATAGGCAAGCATGTTTCCTTAAAAACTTTTTTCTCAGCTCGTGTGCATCGTAGGGAAAATCTGGGCATAATGTTAGAAAGATATTTTCCTGTAGGTGTGCCGAATCCCTTTATAAATTAAAATAGGCTCAAAAATAAAGACACAAAATGAATTTAAAATTAAGAAAAATTTAACGTGGGCCTTATGAGTTACCATGTTGGTGACGAAATAACAACAAAATAAAAACAGAAAATCAAAACAAATGGAAGAAATTCCAATCGCATGTTTTATTTACAGCGTGGGGTGACAATAGAGAATTCATTAACAATATTTTTTGACGAGTTTTCGACCACTGGACAACCTCTAGTAATTATTTAACTACAGTTCCAAGCTAACGCCTACTGTCCTAAGAAGGTGAAAAAATAAAAAAAAAACCTTGATAAGGGAAACAAAAACTCCTCCTTAACCCCTGATTTCACATCAGCTTATTATCTGTAATTTAATATTTTTGATTTAGACTAATATTTTGGTAAGAGTAATAAACTGTAAATTACTCACAAAACATAACAGATAACTCCCACGCTCCACATGTCAGTTCCAAAGCCGATGGAGTCAAAGTTGACGACTTCCGGAGCGACAAACTCCGGAGTTCCGAACAGGACTTGTAGCTTCTTGCTGGGATCAAACTGCCTCGCCAGACCGAAGTCTATAATCTTTATCCTGTTACCTGTCCGTGTTAGACACAGGATGTTTTCTGGCTGTAATCACAGACACTGTAATGTAATACTTCAGTAAAATTCTCTTAAGCCGTGTTTAAACGGGGCCTGTAGGCATACAGGTTACCTATTTCAAATTCACTAACTGAGTCAAGTACTCGTGTAAACGGGGATTTTTAGCTGGTTAATTTAAACCTAATTGACAAAGTTTGAATCGATTTTCTTAATAAAATAAACAGTTAATGTAGATATTACAGTTAATCATTATATTTTAAACACTTTCACAACAGAGATTTTCTGCTGGTTTAGTTTCTACAAAAATAAATATACATTATTGGTACCATAGGAGTGAAAATTTCAATATTAAAGTTAAAAAAATTATCTAAGAGATTCGAGAAAAACAAAACTTCAAACAAATGTAAATTTTTTGTTTCTTTCGAGGCACGTGAATGAGTTAACAGTGATACAAAATTTGCTAATTCTCTCGTAGTTCTGGATATTACGTTGTCTTTTACTTCTAAAAATCCACAACACCAAATATTGGTCAAAAGACCAAGCGTATTAGTTTTGAACTTGACTCCCAGGTAGCAAAACATGTCAGGTACAAGCTTTTATTTGTTTGTGTTGAGTTATACTACAGAGAAGTAAGGTACACAGGAAACATGCTTATGGGACGACCGTGCGATTTCAGATCTGGTACATGTTTTGTTGTGTTGGAAATATGTGACGAGCAAGGAACAGCCAGAGCGGTGAGCACTGTGCGGAAATTCCTATCGCACAAGGCACAGGGTCTTCCTCCACTGTGAGTGTTGTAGTACGAGGGTGAGGGGGGCGGTGCTAAACACCAAGCCTTTAAAGCTAAAAGGATTGAGTATTCTAATTAGTTTTAAACAAAAACAAAAATAATACAAACCTTTAAATCAAGATGAAGGATGTTTTTAGAATGTATGAAGGCAACTCCTTCGCAGATCTGTCTGACAAAGACTGTACAAGATTTTTCTGTGAGGATGAAGTCGTCTCCAATCACCCTGTCGAATAGTTCCCCTCCTTCAATACTAGAGAAACAAACAAGACTATAGTTGATTGTGAGCTTTTTTTTTTGTAAAAAAAACATGTAGGCTCAGTAGTCGTTTTCCTTGACATCTAATGTGACTGCACAATCATATGTTTGGAAGTTAAGTTGGATCAGGTTTCAAATTTGTCTCCGAGGCATAATAAGTAATGCAATACCCTTTTACCTTTAAAAGAATACTTTGTAGCTCAACAATTAATATATTTATTTTTTTGTCCTAAGGACGCTAGGCACGAGCCTGGGATTGTTTTTCACATTACTTCAGGCTAGACCTAGGGGTTGCGGCATTATCACTTAGATAAAATCCATTGGTGACTTGGCGGGGATCGAACCCAGGACCTCAGGAACTGAAGTCCCGCGCTCTAACCACTACGCCAGCTCGCTCCCCAACAATTAATATTAAAGAACAAAAATATCATAAAATAACACTTCCCTACATGATCTAGACAGCATGTATTGTCTTCAGCTGATTCATAGGATGACAAGACAACCCTATAAGGGATCGTAAGTTTAATCTACTATGTGGTCTAGTCACTCACAGTTCTTGTACGACGCACATGACGTTGCTGGACTCGAAGGCGTCGTACAATTGGATGATTCTCGGATGTTGCAGCATTCTCATTATGTCCACTTCCCTCTCCACATTTCTTCTGTCTTCTCGTCTTGCGATGCCAACAAATTTAGCGGCCAACGTCAACCCGGTGCTCTTCTCTCTACATCGGTACACCGTCCCGAACTTTCCTCTGAAACATTAAGATATCGGTTCTGGTTAATCCTTCTTTAATGACCCATTTGATGATTTAAAATTATAATGGTGTTCTAGTACTAGACAAAGACTATCTTAAAATCTAAAATGATAAAGTCTAACAAGAAACAACAAGATAAAATGCACAAACTGAATAACAAAAGTGAAAATAACAGTACATGACATAACAAAATAATAACAATGATAAAAAACAAACGGCATCATTAAACTGATTCATACTTTCTCCTATTATTTGCTCCTAGTAGCTTGTCAAAAACCCTTATAATGCGTAAGGGGTGGATGGTATTATTTCAAAAACCACTTTTTTGGGTTCAGAGGGACACAAAACGTATATTTCCAAGTGTTAAAGAATACATTTTTACATTCATTGCATATGTTTCTTTGGTTTGGGCAAGTAATTGTGGAAATAAACTAAATGTCCAAGACAAAACAAGATTACACAGAAAAATGTGCACGTTTAACTAAATGTACAGATAAAACTTTCACTTAAAGGTTGCAGATATCAATTATCATCAGGGATTGGCAAGAAGAGTACGCCATCTATATTAGGTTTGGCTCAACTCTTGCCTGGCCAAGAACCAATTATGAACTTTGGTTTCTTTCAATGACCTGTGATTTTCAATGAAAATCTAATCAAACCGGAATCACCTTGATTACACAACCCAAATCAAAACCAAATATAAAGAGAAACAGGCACTTTTGTTATTTTTATACAACTTATGATTATTGACTATAGTACTAAACATTCCATCCCCATGATAAAGTTTTTGCCAATTTTAAAAATCCAAACTGTAGTTGAATAGAACCACTGACAGAATGCGCTGATTTAAGTTATTGATTTCTGAAGAATGTACTGATTTTTCAACCAAGTCAAACTGTTAGGGCTACTTTTGCATCTTTTATGTTAGATCAACCATCTCAGAAACATAAACAAATAAAATTCTGTGAGTGGTGACAGCTGATCGATGTAGATGGGATGTCTGCTTCAGTACCCAAAATTCAATGGTAAAGGAGTTGATAGTATTTGTTTCATAAAGTTTCATCTATGGACTCAAAGTATAGGTATTGGTATTTGATAAGCTCAGTACAGAGAAGTAAGGGACCATACAGAAGAAACAAGCTTATGGGACGGCCGTGCGCTTCCAGCTCTAGTAGTGCTGGAAAAGTACTTATTGATCAAGGAAGAGCCCGAGCAATATGAGCACTGCTGAAATTCCTATTGCACAGGGTCTTCTTCCACCAGCGTTGTAGATTAGGACGAGGAGGTGGTGTTGGACTTCTCCCTAGACACCACTAGAGCTAGACACCACTTAAGTTTACCATTGAATGTTTCCTCTATACCTTAATTCCCTGAGTTACTTTCCGCAAAATCAAGCATTACTGGTGTTTACCGCTGTAAGGTGGCTGTCTGCCAGTTACATCAGCCAACATTCTTCTTCACTGTTGTTACTTCTACCTCCACTCGGATTATCTGCCTGTAACTTTTTACCATTCAATCATACGCTTACTCGTTTTTAGTTTCTACCAATAACATTTTGCCATTTTTAAAGCACACCCTAAATTGTCCAAACTCTCTTAGTAATTTAATTACTTCTTCAATTGCTACAAGCTACAAAATGTATTTATCTTTTCTATATTGTTATTTGACTTATTGATTCATTTATTTGCATATCAGTAATCTTATACATTGACTATTTCGAGAAAGTTTGAATTAAGTTAGTATAATTGCCCAAAAATATATATCCGCTATTTCATCTCTTCTTTGGTATTTTTGCTTGTTTCATTTATTGTTCTTTGTAATCATCAAATTTGTAGTTGCTCGTGTTATTAAACACATTATCTCCAGCGATGGAAGATTAATATTAAGGACGTAACATAGAGCACAAGGGCTTAGGTTTTTAGGATTTTATTAGAGGATGTAGGCTTATCTCACAAACAATCCTCAATACAATATTAGTTTTTGTTTTGGTGCACCATTCCTTCGCTGACAATAATTGATACATCAACATTCTTTATTGGTACCAGTGCATACTTGCATCACCAGTAAATTACCAGTGCATCACTTTTGTATTTATGTTGCTACACGATTCCTCTCAACTATTTCGTACATCAACATTTTTATTCAGTAAATGGTTCATTACTGTTGATATTCATGTTGATGAATAATCTAATATTTCACAATAACTATTGGTACATCAACATTTTTATTCATTGGTACAAAATCTGTTGGTATTCATTTTCATACATGATTCCCCGCAACTATTGTTACATCAACTTATCTTCACAATATCACTTCTTGTATTCATTCATTCCACAGCAACTTGTAAGTATCTGTACATTGATGTTTGCTCGTAACTAAACCGTCTGCCGCTGTTTGACTGAGTGTCCGCCAAACATTCTATTTCTGTTGTCTTTCATTAGCAACACTGACCTTAGTTCAGCTTCTTTATTACATCGTATTATCTTTTCAGATGTTCAAAAATGTTTCCAGTCTGTCAACAGTCTTATGTTTCTGACCTTGTCTCTGTCTACACGACGTTGTCAGCAAAGCAAACGCCAACAAAGACAAGGAAAATCAAATTTTTGTATAAAAGAATAAACTATGTTGGCTTAGAAGAAAGAAGAAAGAAATTAACAATTTTGGAACTTAATCTTTGTGAAAAATTTTATTTTTACTTAGTTTTTCATTAATAATCAATTAACTTTATTCAACTGTATGTTCATTATACATTCCAAAGGAGGCGAAAACTTCAACATGGGAGTAAAATGTCTACAATTCATAGAAAGCAAGGAAAATTAGGAGTGGATATGCATCTTTATACAGTGGAACCTCGATAACAAGATTCTTGTTAACAAGTCACCCTCGACTACAACTGTCATTTTCAAATACCTTTGAGTTTATTTTACAGAATCACATGTTACTGCAAACCTTCATAAGAAGTCAACTTCGATAACAAGTCTTATTTAATACCCATGAGAGTCTTGTTATCAAAGTTCTACTGTATTTCTAATTCTAAACCATCACAATCTCATTTTATCGTTAATAAAAGTACAGTTGAACCTCTATAAGACGAATGTCAAGGGGTACGGGAAAAATTCGTACTATAGAGGTATTCTTAATAAAGAGGGTCGTTTTATCGAGGTTTAATGCTGCTGTTATTCTTCTTATAGAGGTTTCTCCTCGCTCCAAGGTTTCTCCAAACAATGACTGAGGAAGGAGGAGGAATGGATGGGGGTTTCATGTTGAGACAAGCTTCTGTTTGTTTTGAAAACTACGTACTATGGAGGTGAAGAATATGATAAATTCGTCTTATAGAGGTCACGTTCGTCTTGTAGAGGTTTTGTCCTAAGAATATTCGTTTTATAGAGGTTAATAAGGTCCTAGCCCATGTCACAAACAAATTCGTCTTATGGAGGTTTTTAACTTAATTACTACGTTGTATAGAGGTGTTTTTAGCATTGACCTATGTGAAAGGGTCAAGGGGATTAAAAAAAATTGGTCTTATCGAGGAATTCGTTTTATTGAGGTTCGTACAAACGAGGTTCAACTGTAACAATTTTTTATACCCGGCTTAAAAGCTACTTTAGATCGGATACGTTACTAAAATGTACTGGGACAAAATTTCCTCAATTAGAAACACAGCTCGGTTACAAGTGGCAGAGCACCGTGGAAATAGAAAATAGACGTGGGATACACAAACCAAAACATCCTCGTCCCGTAGTGCCAATATTTCAAATGTTTATCTCATCTGGAAATAGCAGTGTTCACCTCCCAAAACTGTTCATTAACCCGCACTTGAATTACACGAAGCAGTTCGTATTACAAATCTCGGTCGTTTAGCCACGTGGTGCTATCCAAACTAATTACTTCAAAGTACTTCAACTAAGTATTACAAGTTAAGTCTACACAGGGATTTTGCTTAGTGGAATATGTACTTTGCTTATATTAATATTAGCGACTCTTAAACCGATTTATCAATCCAACATAAGTATTTGAATATATGGACTCATAATCACTTTGTGAAAGAGTTTGAATACAATTACTGGAAATAATTCTTGTTTCTAACCAAATAAGAAAATTTTCATTTACCTTGTCTCTTACAAAGTCTATGGCTTTTTTCAAACCTTTGGGGTATTTTATTGTTCAAAGTTATATTTACGTAAGAGATAAGAGAAGTTTAGATTTATTTTTACCATTCTGTCACACCTGAGCGTGTATTTTACAGCAAATTAACAATGAAATTACATCATTGCATAGATCAGCTGATTAGTTATTAAGAATAATTTCCAATGCAATGATCAAGGACAGCTGATGCTTTCAGTTTGAAGTATTACAAAGCTGAACATAGTTTTATTATTTCTACAGTCTACATTAAAAGATTCATTGGTGAGTCAAAGGAATTGAATGTGCAGTTTGATACACAATGAATCTTTTGCAACAAAATTATGTGAGTTGGCAATCGCTTGGGATTAACACTGAGCTTGTTGAAACAAACATGCATTTATTATTTTAATATCTCGTGCAAAAGTTAGAACTATGACAAGCCTTCTATGGATAAAACTAGAGAATTTCAGACTCACGCAAAAATATTAACCAGTTGGGATGTTTTGGGTGAAGATATACTTTTGTTATGTAGGCAAACAACCTCATAAACTATGTGGAATCTATAACACCATTTTGTGTGGTAAAGGATTATTTCCCAATCCAATGACTCGTTTTTGTAGTATTGTTATTTTACGATTTTGAAAATGGTAGAAAGATAATGAGGAAGATAGAGAGTGTTTACGTTAGTCTGCCTCAAAATATCACCCAAGAACCTTCAGTAAAAAAAAAATAAGATCATGTAAAAATATATTTAAAAGACTACACTGTGGAAGAAATTTATCTCTAGGCCAGATGATTCCCGGAAGAGGTAATAAAAAAGTAAAAGAAAATGAAAAAAAGAAGAAAAAATCTGACGACGATCAGCAACATTGATGAGATATTAGTAAGAGTATTCCAAGTATCTAAGTACGGTGCAAAATTCATCTTGTAGTTACTAACAAAATTGAGATTTTTAAGGGAAGGGCTGGTTTGCTATAAGCAAATAACTTGGGTCACATACCTGCCGATTTCATCTTCCAAGTCATAAAACTCTTTCATGTCCACATTTCTTTTAATTATGACATCTCTGTAGGGGAAACTGGGCTCCAATTCTGCAAACAAAAACATTACCGGTAATTAAGTTGCAAAAAGGTGTTTTAAAACTAAATAGATCATAATTAATTTGCAACAATGTACGAGATAAACACGTCAATTTGTTAATTTGGTTGAAAAGTATAATCGGAAAACTTCAGATCTGTCTAACTGATCAGGGTATAGTGAGTTATTTGTTCAACGAGACTCACACTACAGGCTTCCTTCTTACCCTGTGTTTACCTGTAAGCCTAAACATACCTTTAAAACCCTCTCCCCCAATCCCCCTAAAAAGTGGCATATGAAAAAAACATACATTGTAATAAAAGGTTCAAAGTTAAACGTAAAAATGGGCAACACTGTCATGAGCAGTGCTTAACATTTAAATTTGATTCTGTCACTTGTTTCCACATTAATAAAAATATTAAAAATTTACGATTCAGACACGACCTCTCTTCCGTAATAAAATATCAGTGTAGAGAGTTTAACTACTGTTCAGATTTAAAATTGTCTGATATTGTGTGGTTACACTCTTATTTGTTTAAACTATGCTAAACTCCAAATACAAATAAAACACCAAGTAGAAAATAACTTATCACAAAACTAAAGGGTCCTAAACTGTGTGGTAACCCTATTGTTTATTTAAGTTATGCTTTTAACACGGAGAACAAATCAAGAAGTTAGAAGAGTAAACCAGAGGCTCTGCAAATTCCAGAGCGTCTGTTGTAAATATAGTCGGCCATCGTTGGCAGAGTGCCAATCTGTACTACTGTGCCACTGGCCTGTGTGCTGTGTGAATCTACAGTCTGTGTTGTCAGCTGACTCAGTCATGCTCTAACAATTACCTAATCCTATTCACAACCATAGGTTCAAATGCATCCCCTGATCCCGTTGAGCACCTAAAACGCCTGTCTGGCTAAGGGTGTTTCCCTTGTAAAAACAGCTAGGATTGTGTTCGTGGGAAAATTAGACCTAGACCCGCCATCCTCTTACAGATTTCTCCGTATGTTTGACACAGTTAGAAAAGTCCTTTGTTGATCCGTTCCTGACTGAATTCAGCCACAGTCACTAAGGAGGCCGTCCCTTACGGCCTCAGGAAGGGGCGACCAATGGTTAACGCTATGATGAGGATGTTAGAACCAAGTACTATCGAGCTGCTAGTAGCACTCGATGTGTGAAACGCATTTAATTCCGATGTTGTGATATGATGGACATTCTGGAGAACGTCTTTAACATTCCAGCATACCATATGGCCATCATAAAGGATTACCTCAAGTTCCGCCTTTTTATTTATGACACTATGTAAGGTTTGTGGACAAAGAGTGTCATTTCTGGTGATACTCAAGGAATTATACTCGATACTCAGTCCGGACCTCTGGAATGTCTCCTACGAAAGCCTCCTGAGGTCTGAGATGCCTTAGGAAACCGTTTTATAGTTGGGTACGCGGATGACAATGCGGCTTTGATAGCTGCACGCATCATTGATCTGGCCCAGATGAAGCTGAATCGAGTCATGTGTACTACCAGCGCAAGGATGGCAGACCACGGTCTCTTGCTTGCTATGAGCAAATACAAAATCCTTATAACCAAAAAGCGGATTGACACGACAGTGCTTTTGAGAATGAAGGATGTCAGAGTTTAAATTCTCCGTGCTGCCAAGTACCCTGAAGTTATGGTGGACATTAAGCTTAGCTGGCGGGACCAGATCTTCCGTATGGGGGACAAGGCCGCCAAGGTTGTTTCTTCCCTTAGCCGGTTAATGGCCAATGTCATTGTCAGAGGTCCTCCTCGGTTGAGTAAACATCCAGTCGAAAAAGAATGTTGATGTCTGGAGTCTATACTGGACTGTCCAGTCCATTCTACGAAGACTGCACGTATGGTGCAGTCCATTTTCATTGTCAGGCAGCACTCAGGATAGCATTCGTCTTCAAACTCTCTGTCCTGGTCGTTGCTGGAATCATCCACGTCAAACTTTTGGCAGCAGATAGGAAGGAAAATTATCTGTGGCAAGGGTAGGACCAGGCAAGAACAGTTGAGCCCACCTGCATGTACCAGCTCAGGCAGAAGAGCTTTAAACAGAAGACACGGGAAGCTGGACCAGGTGATTGATTCAGCAAGCCTTGGGGCTACCTTGGGTAGTTCGGTGTTGATTAGAAAGTTGATTATTACCTCACCCAGTTTCTGACAGGTCACAGGTTTTCTAGACGTACCTGTTCAGGATGGCCAAAGCCATGTCACCCGTATCTACTGCCCAGGTATTCAGGACAATGCGGAAATCACTTTCTTCCCCACTGCCTTTCTTGGGAAAGGCCTCGCCAAGACTCAATAATATGTCGTTGGACACGGTAGATGATGACGGAGAGTGAGGACAATAGGACCTGTGTGTCACAGATCTTCCAGGGTGTTCACCGCAAGAAGCTCGACCTTGATCAGGATGCGGTCTAGTTCATAAAAGAACTGAATGCCAGAAATGGTGCAAGCTTTAGTCACATGCTACCCTATGACTTAAAGCAGAGTGACAAACAATCCCAAGACTGTGTCTATTAGAGTAGAAAGGGGTTTATAGTGAGTTATTTTATCAATTCAGGATCAAGAGTATCACTTTTCAAGCTAGCCACCTCATTCAAATTCACTACCTATATTATACACTTGTTACACAACTATAACGCTCTTTACACATATTTATATTCTTCTCACCTCCAACTGGGTCATTTTCGTCTACTTTGATTGACATCTCGCTTCTCCGAGATTCCTGCAACAATGATGCTAATATTAGGCAAATAATTATAAATCTGTAATGTTTAACTGCATCGTAAAGGGATGATCCATAGCCTCTAATACAAGGCCGTGGCGAGAAAAAAAGTGGCAACACCGCAGCTCCGGCCTACCGAATCAGCTGTTGCACTCATTCATAATGGAGCGTCTGCACAATGTTTATGTTTACACGTTTGTTTTCACCGACACGAGACTGGCCGGTGCGACGTTGCCACAGACCAACGTAGAGGTATTAGATTAGACTATATGGTATGCTCCCAATAAACACTTGATAGTTCATACAGCTGGTTTTATGATTACAGATTTTTCTTCAAAATAAAATTCTGAACTAAAATCCACAAAGTATTTCTGATTTACCTCTGTACTAGCTGTCGGCCAGTCCTACGTACGGGAATCAAGTAGTCGATTAAAACTGGATATAATTCAGAACAGCTAGTTTACACGCATAAAGTTTTAATAGGGAAAATTATCTTGTAAACAAATATCACGTGACTACCAGGAGACAGGTTCCCTCATACAGACTATAGTATAGAAACCGCCGATATGGAACGTAATATTAGGTACTGATTTATCATTCTAACATCACAAATAACTTCGTCACCTAAAAATACTACTCAAGCCAAAAAAATATGTTTCTTTATTCTGTGCTCAGGGAAGATTGAAAACATTCAACATTGTAAAACTTCATATCATAATTCAGTCGACGGAACAATTACACACCAGCAGCCGTGGTTTAAAACAGGTTGCGCAGAATTGTATCCTTGCCAGAACTATTTCAAAGCCTTTAATTCAAACATAATTACCCTAATTAATTGCTTTTCTCAGTACTGCTTGGCTGTTTGTTAGTCACAGGTTGAAGTTTCACTAGCGCTGTTTTGCGGCCCAGATTGACGGGGGAGATTCAATAATAACCTTTTATTTATGTGATCTTCGCGGGTCCACGTGGGCTATTGTTTGTTTAAACTTGATCTTGGAAATGTTCCATCGGCAGGTCCAATAAATGTTATTCAACTAACATTCGGTAAATTAAAATTGTATGCCAGTGAATTTGTGTAAGTATGGCCAACGTCTTCAACCGTCAAATCCACCCGTGACTGAAAATGCATATAGGACTAAATCAACCAACAAGAAATATTTTTGGGAACTTTTATGACAGTAAAAACATGAATGGTCCTCTAACAAATGTGTATACTGGGAACGATGACGGAGTCGGACAACGATAAAAACAAACACCGCTTAAGTCAGACAACGAGGAACGCGGACAAATTCAAATGTGTCCCAGTTTAACGTTGCATGCAAACGACGAACCCAGACACATTTTAAAGTTGTTCTGAATTTGCGATGCACGACACGACGAAACCGGACACATTGAGAAGTGTCTCAGTTTAACGTTGCACACTAACGACGAACCCGGACACATTTTAAAGTTGTCCTGGAAAACTTAATCTGTTCAGGTTTATCGTTGTCCACGTGTGTCGTTGTCCAACTTCGGCGCGGTTCCGTATACTGTATAAAGAATAAATGTATACAAATACTCCTTCAAGATCGAAGATTCCACACCTAATATCAAATTTTAAGTAGTCTGGTATGCTAATGATTCAATTGATTCTCATTTACGCACGTGGCCTAAATGTTCACGCAATAAATTCCCTCTCAAATTGGACGAAACGCTTCGAACAAGACAATTTCACAGCGAGTAGACGCTGAACACTTGGCAAAGAACGCAAATTAGACTTCGACGAAACCAAGTGTAAAATAACACTTCCTATACAATAATGCCAAGGAATTTCTAACCGCTTCATGTAGCGGTAGGCTTACAGAACTAGTTGGCTGCTTGTGACAGTTAAATAATTTATTATTAAACTGATCGTGTGACGTTTAACCGTTGATTAAATGGGGTGAGGTTCATTTGTCCAAGTTTTCAACTGTCCGAGTTTGTTAAAAATTACAAAATATTAGAAGAATCAGTTGTCCTAGTTTCATTTGTCCGAGTTTTCATTTGTCCGAGTTTAATAAATTATTTTAAAAAATATGGAAATACCAAGTGTCCGAGTAACGTCAACATCAAAAGTGACACCGCGCGCCGAGACTAGCTTGTCTCAGGCGCCAGGCCGGAAGCCGATGTAAACCTCTTCTGCGAAGAAGTCGGACACGTCGGACATTGTGCGAGAGCCCCTCACGTCGACTTAAGAAAAATTATAAAATTAACTATATAATTTTTAATTATAAAATTAAACTGTCATAACCTAACCTAACCAACCAAACTTGCTGATAATATATAAAAGTAGTGAAAATCTTACTTGACTGGTGTTCATGAGGTATCCAGATCGGGATCCCTCTCCTTGGCGAACTTTTTGTCACATATTTTGCTTAGAATTCGATTATTTTTTAACTGTACATCTTTTGTACAGTAAAAATTTGAGGCATTTATAATTTTATTTTTTAAACAGGACATTTTTTTTATATTTTTTAGTAGACTTTCATTCGATTTTATCTTATTTGTTTATATTATCAGCAAGTTTGGTTGGTTGTGTTAGGTGATGTCAGTTTAATTTTATAATTAAAAAGTGTAAAATTAGTCTTATAATAAAAAAAATTAATTTCATAATAAACAAATTTTGAAATTTATTTTATAATTTTGTTAAGTCGACGTTGGCTGCTTGTGACAGTTTAATAATTTATTATTAAACTGATCGTGTCACGTTTAACCGTTGATGGGGTGAGGTTCATTTGTTGGGGTGTTTACAGTTTGTTTCTTGTTATTTCAGTCATTTAAAACTTTGCTCGGCCAAATAAAATGATCTATTCATAAGCTACGTTATAAAACCAAACAGTAAAGCCCAAATCATGAAATAACCCAAAAACAACAGAAACAAAATTTCGTTAATACTAGCAGTCGGTGTCATCGGACATGAACTAGACACGAAAACGAGCTTTAAACTTTACAATGGGATGGTAACAGGGCATTGTATTATTTTTACCATTGAATCAAGTTTCGAACGCCGTTAAAATTCGCGATTTGCGCATGGATCACATCATTTGTTTACAAGGTTGTGAGAGAACATGTGTTTTGACAATCGCAGTGTTCCACGGGAGATGAGGTCGACCTTTTCTCCAGGAGGTTATTTTCGTAGCTCCCCCACATTCACACATTCACTGACATTGTTCTATATCGGCACCGATCTCTGGGTGGTTTGGCGCATCCATTCACTCTTATGCGCGCCTCCACCTTACAAAACGCATCGATCGGTTATCAATGGTTAACTTAATTAGCATAATTTGTTTTGTCTTAGAAATAAACGAGCGTCTTTTTCAGAAGAGGGCAGCCACTATTTAAACTCTGGAAATCCATAGTTTAGGTTATGTGGTTTTTGACCTTTTGTGGTTATTTCTGTTCAGTAAAAAAAAACCTGTGAGTAAAGCTATAAACTAACCTAACCTAAATTTTTGATATTCCACAGTTTAAAAATTGTATTTGGATTGAAAAATTGGAGTAAAAGGGATCCGGTATGTATGGTATCTCCAAGCGTTTTTTAAATTTTTATTTTAACGAAGATTTTCCCATAAAATTCATAAAATAACGGAATAGGCTAATCAAATTAAATTTTGATAAAAATTTAGTATGTTATAGCCCTTTAAATTCTGAACAAAGTGGTAGCCCTACTAATCTCGTTACTGTAAAAATTACGGTTAAAAAGTTATTGTTATTTTTCCATAAAAACCCATAAAATAACGGAAAATTCGGATTTAAAAAACAGTTTTTTGATTAAAATTTGTATGGTATGGTCCTTATAATTCCAAACCATAAATAGTGCAACACTGCTGCAAAAATGCTGTTCAAAAGTAAATGCAACTTTTGTGATTTTTCTTATAAAATATTCTCCCACCGCATACCCATGATACAGGTTGTTGACAAGCTAACGGGAGAAAGTATGTGTCAGATTGCTGTTACGGTTTGTTTTACTTTTCGTCACCAGTAAGACAGTTCAATTGAACGATTTGGTGATTGATTATTTACTCTGTAGGTTTTGTTACTTTGGATCACTAGTAAGACAGTTCAATTAAATGATTTGGTGATTATTTACTATGTAGGTTTTGTTACTTTGGATCACTAGTAAGACAGTTCAATTAAATGATTTGGTGATTATTTACTATGTAGGTTCTGTTACTTTGGATCACTAGTAAGATAGTTCAAATAAATGATTTCATGATTATTTACTCTGTACGTTTTGTTACTTTGGGTCACTAGTAAGATAGTTCAATTAAATGATTTGGTGATTATTTACTATGTAGGTTTTGTTACTTTGGATCACTAGTAAGATAGTTCAATTAAATGATTTGATGATTATTTACTCAGTAGGTTTTGTTACTTTGGATCACTAGTAAGATAGTTTAATAGAATGATTTGATGATTATTTACTCAGTAGGTTTTGTTACTTTGGATCACTAGTAAGATAGTTTAATAGAATGATTTGATGATTATTTACTCAGTAGGTTTTGTTACTTTGGATCACTAGTAAGACAGTTCAATTAAATGATTTGATGATTATTTACTCAGTAGGTTTTGTTACTTTGGATCACTAGTAAGACAGTTCAATTAAATGATTTGATGATTATTTACTCAGTAGGTTTTGTTACTTTGGATCGCTAGTAAGACAGTTCAATTAAATGATTTGATGATTATTTACTCAGTAGGTTTTGTTACTTTGGATCACTAGTAAGACAGTTCAATTAAATGATTTGATGATTATTTACTCAGTAGGTTTTGTTACTTTGGATCACTAGTAAGATAGTTTAATAGAATGATTTGATGATTATTTACTCAGTAGGTTTTGTTACTTTGGATCACTAGTAAGATAGTTTAATAGAATGATTTGATGATTATTTACTCAGTAGGTTTTGTTACTTTGGATCACTAGTAAGATAGTTTAATAGAATGATTTGATGATTATTTACTCTGTAGGTTTTGTTACTTTG